AGTTCATATCTTCACCACCCTAATGAAAAAGCCGGGCACAGCAGCGCTCATGTACAACTACGGCAGTGTAGGAGCATTCCCATGCATATGCACACATATGCTTATATAAACTGTTACATAAGCATACTCCAGACACTTGCACAAATTGATTAACTAGTTAAAAAATAAAAAACCCAAAAAAATGAACTTCTCACTGTGCTAAAGATCAATGAATATTCACAGATTGGAGAGCCTCAGTTTGGCCTGCCATAGCCCCTGAGTGAAGGAAAACCCAGAGAGGCAGTTGAAGCGAGGATCTGTGGAGAACCAGCACTGATAAGTCAAAGGATGCATATGGAGGGGCTAGATCAAGTTAGGATGTATACAAGGAGAAATAGGGGCTGGGAACAGGTCTTATCAACTAAAAAGTACCCTCAAGATTGATACCTCTGAGTCTGAGGACAGGGGAAAGAAGAAGAAGATCTGGAGCCACCTATCTGTCATTCACTGCCACAATCCCCAAACTTCAACTATATATATATGATAGTCACAAGGGCATCCCTTCAGCAGGATGATTAATCCTTAAGAGGCCTTAAATGTATGAAGGCAGGTCCTCTGCCTAAAGATCGGTGGAATAGAAGGAACTGAGAGAAATACCAAAGATATAGCATCTATTCAATGGAATTAGAGTAGAAAATTTCTCAAATTTAAAGAAAGAAATATATATTCAAAATGTCATTAACAAAACCAGATAAACGTCACTAGAGAAAAATGTCTCCACAATATATTATAGTCAATATAACTACAGTCTGTAAGGGGGAAATGCCAGCTTACATAGGCAGAAGCAACAGAATACCAGCTGTCTCATCAGCAACCTTCAAAGTCAGGAAAGCACAGAATGATCTATCACAACCTTGGAAAGTAAGGCTGCTATATCCAGCAAAAGCATCTTTAAACTGACAGGTAATTAAGGGTATTTCAAGAAAAGCACAAACTAAGGTAATTTATGACCACCAAACCAGTACTCCAGAATACACTTAAAAGAGTATGCATACATACATAGGAGTAAGAAAGACAGTCTGAATTATTAGAGCATAGGAAAGAATACATTTCATGAGAATACATGAACAAGAGAGCTAGGAGGGTACTCACTATGTCCAACACAGTAAACCAGCAAACTCCTTACAGTAAGAGGAAAGCAAGCAAGCAATAATTAATCAACCAGGAAAACAACAATACTACAGGAACTAATGAACATCTTTCAGTCATAACTTTAGTATAAATAGCCCTAACTTACCAATAAAGAAATACAAAATGAATAACTGGATTTAAAAATTAGATCCAACTTTCTTTTTTCTCCATGATGAGCCATTCCCATTCCATCCCCTTTGAACCTATGAGCCTTGGCATCTTTAAATTTTCCACTATAAACTTTGAAATGCTCGATATATTCTTTACTGCTCACTTACTTTTGCCTAATGTTACATATTTTATGCCACGAGTTTGTGATCGGAAAGCTTGCCATTAAAATGTGTCCTAAGCACAGCTGACTCTTCGAGCAAAGGATTTTTTCATTCTAACATGCATACAATCACTAGAGGAAAGTGTTCAAAGTGGGCAATAATAATTCTCCAACTCTAATTCTTTTTGAACACATCAAGGATCAAGTCTGGGTATCTTCACTTTAGTTGCTACTTCAGGTCTCCTCACTTTAGTTGATCCGCAACTACTGGCATTATGGTTTGAGTATGGTATGCCCTCTGCAGGCTCATTTGTTGAACACTTTGTACCTTAATGGTGGTGCTGGTTTTCGGATGTTGTGGAAACTTTAGGAGATGGGGCCCAACCAGAGAAAGTAGATCACAGGGGGCATGATTGAGAAGGCTGTACCGGGTCCCCCTGCCTTTGCTTTTTGTCTGCAATGAAGTAAGACATAATCACATAATCATAACACTTTTTATTTTATATATCATGTGGTTGAAATAGTTAATCACTATGTTAATTCAAAATAGTTTAAATTGAATATGTGAATACATTTTCATGCATAACACTATACTATACTATACTATACTATACTATACTATATACTATGATATGCTTAACAAGTTGGGGCTTCCATCTTGCCTTCTCTTTGTCTTCCACATCCCCATCTACCCTCAAGGGGTCAAAACTGACATTTTACTATATATGATTCAGGCTTTATTCTGTATTTATATAAGCATTTGAATATATTATTTCACAGTAGTATATAATTCTGCAAATTGCTCTTTTACAAATATTTTAATTTGGGGGGGTGTGTGCATGCCACCACATATGTGTAAGGTCAGAAGACAACTGGAGAGAGTTGGTTCTCTCCTTCCATTATGTGGGCTCCAGGGATCAACCTCAGGTTGCCAGGCTTGGTAGCAAGCGTCTTTACCCAGTGGGCCATATTACCTGCCCAAGCACATTGCTCTTTTTATGCAGTACTTGTGGATTTTTTTCCTGTCAGTGTTTACATTCTTTGCTGAGTTTAGCTGACAGTATATACATTTTACTGTTAATGAGCATTTAAGTAGCTTCCCATTGTTCACTCTTATAAACAATTCTGCTATGAAATTTTTTTCACAAATCTTTTTATTTCCATGTAAAAATATGTCTCTCAAACAATTTTAAGTAGAATTATTGGGCAATTGAATATGTATCTTTTACATCTTGTTTTCTTCTGTAATTAAAAAATAATTTGTTTTAAAAAAAGAAAAAATCAATTATTTTCATTATTTTTATTTATACATATGTGTGTGTCATATGTGGGTATGTGGTACATGTGTACAGGTGCCTGCAGAGGCCAGAGGCATCAGATCCCCTTGGAACTAGTGTTTCAGACAGTTATGAACAGCCCGATGTGGGTGTTGAAAACCGAACTGCAGTCCTGCACAAGAGTAGCAAGTGCTCTTAACTACTGAGCCATCTTTCCAGCACCATGTGATGGTTAGCTTTGATTGTGAACTTGATTGCGTTGAAAATGTCTAGGAGACTGATGAAACGCACTTGTGATTGTCTCTGTAGGCATTTCCAGAGAGGATTCACTAAAGGTGAAAAGACATGCCTTGAATATAGGCAAAACTAGCTGAATGCTGGAGCTCCAGGTGGAGTAAAAGAGAGAAAAGGAGAAAACTAGATAGCGTAGACAGTGTCTGTCTCTTGTCTCAGGCCACAACGATGTGAGCTACTCTGCTCTGCTCTGCCATACCCCCCTCATCACGATGGCATGATGGACAGATTCTAGTACATGGGAAAATTTTTCAATTTATGTCAAACTTTGCTTTAGTGTCTACCATAAAAAATGAACCACTTTTCCATAACAGTCACATATTTTTCTGATGCTTTTAAAACTACAGTTATCAGCCGGGCATGGTGGCGCACGCCTGTAGTTCCAGCACTCGGGAGGCAGAGGCAGGCAGATCTCTGTGAGTTCAAGGCCAGCCTGGTCTACATAGTGAGTTCCAGGACAGCTGGGGCTACAGGGAGACCCTGTCTCAAAAAACAACCCTACAGTTATCAAAAATAGGAAACTATTCTTATTTAAACTTTGAAAATATAATCCCAAATATTTTTAAAAGTTTTATTATTTTTGTACTTTGGATATGAGTGTATTGCCTGCATGTGTGTAAGTGCACATGTGTTGTTCAGTGCCCGTGGAGTCAGAAGGTGGCATTGGATTCCCCTGGAACTGGAGTTATGGATGGCTGTTAGCTGCCATGTGAGTGCTGGGAATCGAACCCAGGTCCTCTGCAAGAGCAGTAGGTGCTCTTAACTGCTAAGCCGTCTCTCCAGCCCCAAATTCCAAATATTTCAAGTTACTTTAAAATGCATTGAGGAATGCAGTGGTGAAAAACATTCAGTGAGTCATAATTACATAACACCCAAGTTGGAAACAAGAGCAGAAAAGTACTTTTTACTCAATAAAATGTAATGATATGTTGCCATTATTTAGGCAGTCTATTAGTACTTTACAAACATAAAATTATAGCTTTACAAAATTACAGTTCTTACATGTGTACACTCTAATTTTACATACTTAAGTGCACTAATTGAAAAAAAAAGAACTCAATTGCAAGTTGAAATCTAAGACAAAATTCACTGCTAAAAATAACTTTATTGAAAAAGTTCATAAAGAGTTTTACACACACACACACACACACACACACACACACACACACACACATTTGTATTTGAGACAGGGTCTCACTGTGCACCCCTGCCTGACCTGAAGCTGGCTATATAAACCAGGCTGGATTCAAAGTCATAGAGATCCACTCCTACAGAGTATATTTAATTTTTTTTTAATTTATGTGTATTTCACACAGAATATCTTAATAATCTTTATACTCCCTTCTCCATTTGGCACACTCCCATAGCCACCTCCCCACAGGATTTTATGCATTCTGTCATTGATGTTAAGGCCTATCGCCCCCAAACATCCCTCAGTCCAAGTTCATCTAATGAGGTCTAGTCAACCTATCTACAGTCCCTCCCTTTAAGAGGATCAGGAGATCCTAACCTGCTACTGAGTAGATTTTTACACTGACTTTTAAAATAAAATGTTGTATTACAATTGCCGGGCCATGGTGGCGCACTCCTGTAGTCCCAGCACTTGGGAGGCAGAGGCAGGCGGATCTCTGTGAGTTCAAGGCCAGCCTGGTCT